TCGTTTGCTCTCGGAGCTCAAGACACTCAAGATACTCTTCTCGATAAAACTCACGATACACTCGACGATGCACTGCTACTCCGCGTACAAGCAGGGTTTATATAGCTTTTGACCTGCCTTCGAGAACATTCTGGGGCAAACCGGTAGCAATTCGTTGCAAAATGTTCTCCCTCCGTCGATTGCATATCGTCAATTTTGTCGCCAAAAGGGCGATTTCGAGCCAAATATGGAAACTCTGCCTTTCTTTGCTATTTTCTGGCAACCCTAAACCCACTTTGCGGGGAATCTATCTTATCGCAGCTGAGCATTTCGTAACAATATCATACTTAAAATTTATTTTCCAAAACGAGTCGGTAATTTTACATTTAAAAAGTTTTTATATATTGCTATCTGAAAAGAACGTTTGGTTATCAGTGAAAAGCATATATTATCGAGCTATGAGAAATCTGGTATAGTATTCCAGAAAATTCTTTCTGTAGTAATGATGCTTGGGAAGTTCCTGCCGCCTCACTCACGAAAGGATTTTCTAAGGTAATACTTTTCAAATGTATCGCAAGTGCAAAACAACATTTTCTGAATTATGAAACAGAAGCCAAATACGACTGCATTAATATCATCTGAAACACAAAATGTCAAATCGTAATTCTTCAAGATATATGATTTTTGATTAGCATATAAATTAGGTATTTACAATTCAGATTCGAATGGCCTATCAAAATTATGAAAATCTCTCTCACAAAATGTACCATTTACGACAAGCGAATTGAAAAATATTGTGGAATCAAATTCCTGGGCTTGGGGAGAAATGTTTCAAAAATACTGTTAGAATAAATTATCATCACTTTTTGCTTAACGAAACTCGGCAACGTCAAAAACAAACGAGCGCCAAACAATATATTGGCGAGAGAGGTTTCTATCGATTTTTTATATGCAGAAAAAAAGTCATAAAAAAGATTTTGTACTTGCATTCTATTTGTGCTCGAGTCTTTTCAGCATGTTACCTTCTGTTATGGAATATACTCCTGATAACATTGCCTAATTAGTAAGCCTAATTAGTAAGATTAGCCTGAAGCTATTTAAAAAGATGAATCACTTGTAAGTTTTTTTTTTTTTTTTCCTCTCAACACTTCAATTTAAATGTTTGTAAAGACTGTTAACTTTGATTTGTATTGTATTTGTGTTCCCCTTGAGTAAGCGAAAACTCACTAACACGTTAAATAAAGATTTCATAGTTATTCTAACTTATGATTCTTTAATAAAACTGTGCTAAATAGAGGATAGTGTACTCCAACGCCTTAACCCTGTTAAATGCACGACATATCAACTACATTCTGCGATGCAAAAGTTTTATTACAAGCCAAATGAAAATGACGCTGTACTTTTAAAAAAATAATTCATGCAACCGAATACACGCATTTTCGAAATCATATTTATCTGTTTCAAAATTAGCGTGATATTAATCAGATTTTCTATGGAGTTTAATCCTGTTGACTGGGATTGCTATGTTTACTAACACCTGCTTAAATAACCAGGCACAACTGTATTTCTTTGCCTGGCCTTTTTATCAAATGCGTTTTATGTTTACTAATAATAACCAAATATAAAGGAAATAATTAAAATAACATTAAAAAAAATCTGAAAGCTTTCAGATTTTATATTACGGCCAAATTGGCGTTTTTGTAACGTTTTGTGTTTTACCTTTATTTATTAAATACCATGTTCTTGGCACTTAAATCATAAAATTCAGTTTAACAGCAATAGTGCAAAATTATTTAAAAACAGCATATTTTTATAACTTCCGATACACAGTATCAAGCGCTGGAGATAGAAAAAAACATTTTTTTTCCCGTACAGTGTTGCCACTGCTCGCTTTGAAGTCGTTGAATTTGTTAATCAAAAATTCGTTAAAGTGTTACGAAATAGATAATAAAACAAATTCAAAATTAGGGCTTCCAGATGCCCACATTCGGTGCAAACGTACGTTATTCAAAATTGGATGTCTCTAAGTATCGTTGTTTTTTCACAATGCGAGAAACATACTTAAATTCGTGCAGATTCTTCATTATTTAATTTCTTTCAATATAACACAGGGCCATAATATTGGGTGGCAACAATTTGAAAGGTGATTCAGACATTTAAAGTTTTCGAGCAAAATGTCAAAACGAAATTAATAGACCTTCTGAGCTTTGGGGTTTACGCCGAAGATTAAAATTTGATTAAAAATAGATTCCGCAAAGAAAAATGATTCAAATTAAACAGATTATGAATCAAGATACAGTATGCTGTAAATTTAATAAGAATTTCGTTTTTATTTACTAAGCCTTTTTTGTTAAATAAGTTTGATGTAACTACACCCTCTATTATTTTCCTTTCAAATACAATGGAATTTCTTTTCAAAGTCTATACACGTTCCATACAAATTACCGCTTACCGCTGTGATCATTAATTTTTCTGTTGCCCACTGGACATTTTTCATACTTTTAAACAAGGCAGAACTTTTCGCACAAATTCATCTATAATTTAGATTTTTATTCTCTCTCTGCCGCTTTTCTTTATCCGTTATGACATCGAAGGTGGTCTCGGAGAAGCATTTCCTCGTCCGATGCATAGCTGGAGGAATAACACAGAGTTTCTTTCCTTCTTCAATTTCTTTTCTTTCTTTTTTTAAATTTGCTACTTCCCTCTCCGCTTGCATGCTTGTCTTTGGTAACTTTCTTGCAGATGGGAAATGCCGCAGCTGTAGGGTCAAAGGACGATTGAAATGCGACCAACACATGTGCGAAGATTTTCAAAAAACGTCACGCGTCTTTGTAAATGTGGATTTTCGAGACATAATCCAGAATTCGACACGTAGGATTCCATGTACTTCGGAGTTTCCTCTGCTTTGAAACTCAGTTCGCTTTGTAAGTATCGTGTAATTAGAAATCATACTTCCCGATACAGCCCCCACAGACGACATTTTCAACGCAATATTTTTGGCTGAGGGGATCTAAAACAGAGGGAGGCCAGTTTTCATGTTACGTTTTACTCACTATTACCGGCTCGATTTCTTGCCGTATGGTTCTTTATTGCTCTTGAAAGCTACTTAAATAGGAACTTAAGCCCTTAAAGCTGATTGAACATCCATAAATTCACAGGCGCTCAAAAACGTCGCCCGCTGAGACGAAAAGCTTTAACACATTTCAGAATGAGACTTCAGCATTCGAAATAAGATCATAATTCAGTGCACATAAAATATCCAATAACCCTTTTAAGGGATTATTCTAATCTTTGAAATACTCAATGAGAAGGAATATTTATGATTCCATTAATAATATAATTACATAATGATCAATACTTCCTTTTTAAATATTTTAATACATAAAAAAGAAAGAATATATGCGTGAAAAAAGATAGTTTGTTATTGAAATGTGCTAGAAAAATACGTGTCTTGAAAAGGATGTCTTACTGAAATATTCCCTTACTCGCAGTGGTTAATATTTACCTTTAGATGCGAGAAGACAAAATTATAACAGCAGTCATTAAGTCAAATGTTTCGCTTCAAAGAGCACAAACAAATTATTATATTCAGTCATGTTACCCACTGTACTACCAAACTTACAGCACGATACAATGCATGCGAGTAAAAGTCCGACATAACATAGTGTTACGAAATGCCCAGGCGCGGTAAGATAGCTTCCCCGCAAAGCAGTTTTAGGGTTGCCCTAAAATAGCAGGGGATGCAGGGTTGCAACATTTGGAGAGAAATCGTATTTGGCGATAAAATTGGCGATATACCATGGGCGGATGGAGAACCTTCTGGAACGAATTCTTATCGGTTTAAGCCCAGAATGTTTTCGAACACAAGCCGAAACCATGATGGTCCGCAGTGCGAGTGAGTGTGCCTCATCTAGTCTACTGTGCCTCGTCTAGTCTAGTCTAGTGTGCCTCATCTAGCTGATAGTCAGTCATTGAGCGAGTGTCTCGAAGTCTAGCGCCGAGTTGGTCGTCGAGTGCATCGAAGAGTCTCTTAGTGTATAGCGGTTAGTGCATCGTCGAGAGAGTGTGTTAAGCTCCGGGAACGACTGAACCGAAGAGTCGGAAGCTGTGCTCTGTGCGTCGTCGAGTGCATCGCGAGTTGTAGCGTGGAGAGTCTCGAGAGTACATGGAGTTCCGAGAACGACGGAGCAGAGTCGGAAGCTGTACTCTGGTGCTTTTCAGTGAAGCTGTCTTCACCGTTATAGCCTGATAGTGTGAAGGCTGTGTCGCTGATTGTGTCAGCGTGTTTAAATAGTAGTTCTTCGATTCTGTAACGTGATTTTGGCGCTGTCCTGATTAATATTGGTAAATAAAATGTGTTCCGATATTCCATCAAGTAGTGTCGTCGTTATTCACTCCAAATCCACACAAACCCCGCACGAACATGAAAGAAGAAAATAACGTAACAACTGGTGTCAGAAAAAAAAAAGTAACAATATTTAAAAACTGATTTTATTTGATCTGGAAGATAACTTTCTGATTTTAAAGATTCCTCTTTTCTAATTCCTATTATAAAAATTATTTTAAGAGATATAAAATATATAAAATTCATTTCAATAAAAATAAATGAAACTTTTTCTTATGTTGCATTTACACGTAACTGCAACGATGAAAGAAATTAATAAATAAAACACAGCATATGAATTTTATACTCTAATTTTTATATTAATTTATGGCTTTCTTTGGATGATGGTTTAATGATATACTATGATGTCTCCCCACATTTCTTTCAGCCTTCCATTATATATATCAGGCAAAGATAACTAACGATATCGAGATCTTCAGAACTATGCCAAGCAGTCTTAGTAACCTCAAAATTAAAATTCTAATGATGATTTTGTCCCTAAAATTATTAAATTACTTTGACGGGTTTTTAATTTCACTGAATACTTATGTACAAGAAGTTCATTGTCAATTAAATTGTTACACCGATTCAAGCAAAATAATTTGTATGCGTAGTTAAAATCTAAAAGAATACTTACGTAAAAATGCAGAACAACTTCTTGCATTGCTTTGGGCGCACAGTGGAGATTTTCGTCCTCGCAGCATCCTGCTGCATCCGTGCATCGGTGCAACAAGGTACACCGGGGTAAAAGTTCTTTTTCTGGATAGATGTCTCTGACACATATCACTTGAGAACGCGGAACACCGCAACTGGCTCTCGAACGCATTCTCACAAAATGTTCGTTGGCTTCTCGAACTTCAGAGAGTTCTGAAAATAATTTTTAAAATGTCAACAAAACTATTGCTTTAAAAATAGAGAAAGGGCTATTATTTTATACTTGATTAAGCGATATTATTTTTAAAAACTTAGATTCAAAATTAGATTAATTCCATTCAAATAGGAATTAAGTATGAAAGCTCTTCTCGGCGAAGATTAACTCGGGTAAATAGGTTCTAAGCCTTCTTCTAGTGGGCTCTTCGATGGATAAGTGATCTCCTATATTCAAGAACTTGAAAATGGATGACGGTCTACCATATTGTAGTGTATGGTCTACCATATTGTAGTGGTAGTGTATGGTCTACCATATACAGTTTTGCAGTGGGGATGTTAGAAAGGTGCCTACTACCAGTGAGATATCAACTACGTAGTAAATTGATGCGTGTAATTCACTTCTTGAAACATCTACTGGGACTTATATGACCCATTAGTAAGCTACGAAACTTGAATTACAGTCAGATAGCAATGAAATATGAATTAAAGTAAAAACATATTAATATTAGTTAATGGCATGACTGTGAAGCAAATGCATTAATGATCATAAAATAAAAATAAAGGATTATAAAATCGCTTCGGTACAAAAACATATTTTCGTTGCTGAATGGGTTAATATGGAACAACTGGAGTTTTAATTTAAATCTATTCCGTCATATCTGCTACGTCAGAAGGAGTGGCGTCAGGAAATGTTCTGTTATATACGGTTACGAAGAAGCGCCGAGCTGTCTCACTTGCTACTCTGTGTTTGGACCTACCGTTCAGCATTTCTACACTTCATGCACTCTTGGAAGCACCAATATCATGATAGCCGAAACACAGCGTGCATTCTGCATGCTAATCGCGGCACATGGAACACTGAGGTGTGGCAGTCAAACCTTGCAGTGAAGGAGGAGAGTGAGCAAAAGACTGCACCGCCTGTTGGGAACGTTGAGTGAACTGTAGTTCCAATTGCGGTAAGTAGCTGCTACGAAGAATGTAAATCTGGAGGAAGAGAAGCCGTCTAACCTACAGTCTTCTGGCAGAAATAAAAGGATTATAGTTCATCGCAACGCGATGTAACTTCATTTTTTCTGAACTATCACCTACAAAGAGACACCAGTATCACGAGCAAACAAATTTTAACGATTTAAAAATCTGTTTAAATATGTCACCACTTCTACAGTTACATCAGTATCACAAATCCAAACTTTAACCCAAGGAAAGAGAGAAAGCTTTTCTTTAAAAATTTTTCATCTGTTTTTCTTTTTAGTCTTTGCACTATGTTTTAAGATTTTTGCTCTTCTTTGATGAAAATAAAGGAGATCATTTTATTGAAGTCGTTTAAACACACCCCAGATTCATCTACCGTGAAAATACGTTTATATTTTTATTCGACTATTTGTCGTGGAGAAAGACGAGGCACATTTTGATTTTCGACTTGGTGTATTTGTGTATTTTCTTTTCAAAATTAAAGACCTTACCTTTCGAAACAATTCTGTTTCTTTAAATTCTGTGCGATATTCGAAACATTCTGTTTCTTTATATTTTGAACAATTTTTCCACTTGGAGTCATTTACCAGTTCCACTTGGAAAAATTCCAAATTTTTTTACATTGAGTTCCACTTGGAACAGTTTTTCCACTTGGAGTCATTTTCACACTTTACATTTTTCCCCCTTTTCTTATTGACAGTATTACCTATCATAGCTTTAGCTATCGAAAAAGCATGGCTTTCACAGAGCTTTTTTAGTAATTAGATACGGATAATTTTCTCCGAAAAGAGCACAAACATAGCCCTTCCATCCATTGCTTCTTTAAAAGCGCCATTTTGCGTAAAAACAAAACTGTCAAGTAGCAGATGATAATTTATACTTCCAAAAATATACTTGTAGTTAAAAAAAATTCCATGCAGACGATTTTTTTTTTTTTTTTTTTGCAAAGCAAAATCGTCTAAAAATTATGTGAACAGTCTCTATACTTCTGTATTCCACTATCAGTTTTAATGCGTAAATCTGCATATGATAATCGCCGCTACGCTGAACAATGACGATAAAAGAATTATTATCTAAATGGCCGTAAGAAGTTAATTCAAGAAGTTTAATCAATATTAATCGGTTCCTCTGATATTGAAGATTTTGTGTGATTTTATCTGCATCATTTGATGTTACAAATGCAGCGATCCGAGAAGATAAAGTATGATGCAACGATGTAAGATGCAATGTATCCAAGATCATGTTTTCTATTACTCGGGTTCCCGTATGAAAGAACAGAATTCTTAACAGACAAGAATTCAGAATCCTCGACTGTACAGGTTTGTCGGGAGTGAAAACTCTACTTGTAAACATTGCGTGAAGGCACAAAGAACTCTTTATATTCGTTATAATTTATCTACAGTCACCCATCTTCTTATTTTTCGAATTTTTTAAGGAGCTATTTTTTTAAACCAAAGAGAAGTTGGCGTTTAGTTTTATGAAGTAAAGCGGGCTTTACAAATATTTTGAATATCTGTTTAAATTTTCAGCTTATGTTGATTGCATCTTAAAGTTGCTTAAGGTAGAAGCTAGTTTATTAAATGGAAACTTAATCAATAACATAAGTAATAAATAATTTAATATTGATTTGCGATAAAATGAATGTACATTAAGTAATGAAGGCAACAAAATTTAGAAGGTCGGTGTTATCACTCATTAAATCAAACATTCCATTGGTTTTGTAAATTTTTAGCCCATAGGAGCATTTGCTCAGAAGAGTTATTAATTTCGTTTTGACATTTTCCCTCGATTCACTCTGAAAGGAGAATCACTTTTGAAATTGTTGCCACCAAATGTTATCGCCCTGCATTATATTTAAAGAAATTAAATAATTAAGAATCTGCATAAATGTATGCATGTTTTTCGCAGTGTGATAAAACAACGGTACTTAGAGCCATCCAATTTTGAATAATGTACGTCTCCACCCGAATATGAGCATCTGGAAGTCCTAATATGGAATTTGTTTTATTATCTATTTCATATTTCGTCAAGCATTTATGAGTTTGTGATTAAGAAACTCGACGGTTTCGAAGCGAGCAATGGCAACTTTTTACTCCAGCGCGCGAGACTATGTATCGGAAATTTTAAAAATATTCTCTGTTAAATATTATGCGATATTGCTGTTGGATTGAATTTTATGGTTTAAGTGCGAAGAACATGATATTTAATAAATAAATGTAAGGCACAAAACGTTAAAAAACGCCTCTTTAGGCGTAATATAAAATCTGAAAGCTTTTAGATTTTCTTGCTATAAATTTCATGTTTACAAGATTTTAATATTTTCTTCGAACTTTTAAACTCACTCAGGCTTTTAAGAAAATTACTTATATATTATAAGCCATTTATTAAATTATCATAGTACAACTAATTTAAATATTTGTATTTTAGATTCTTTTCTCATTTCGAAGTAGTCTCGCCAAGATTAACTTTAGAAGTTTTTCAGTTTATTATCTTTTATAGATAACGTAAATTAGGTAATCAATTTTCCTCACTATTATTTAATTCATTCTCTCCCAGTTCCCCCACCTTTTTTTATTTTTATTGACAGAAAAAACGACTATAGTATCAGAAAATTAATAATGACTAAAATGTTGATCTTTTTTATTTGAGATAAAAGTCAACAGGAATATGAAATCTTTAAATTTTCCTTAATTTTTTTTTCTAGATTTATGTATAGCATCGTCCCAACACAGGCATTCCGACACAAAGTTGGAGCTCCCACCAAATGATATGCAAACCTCCCTCCATATTTCGATTTTACGACTCAAAATTATGCCTAAATATTAAATTTTGTAAAATTTGGTGCGAAATTTTCCGAGCAATCCAAAAATTTTTCTTGGCGTATTTTATCATAATTTAATAGATACCATTGCAGTACATCTCAGTTTTATCTCTCCTTCCTTCCTTCCTGCCTGCCTGCCTGCCTGCATTGGTGGTGTAACGATAGCACACTCGCCACGTACTCTAGAGGTCCAGGTTCGAGACCCGGGAAGAGCATTGCACATTTTTCATATCTCCTGCTTAAAATAACCCAATGACTCTACAATGGCTCCCGAACTAAAAAGGTGGTGGATGATGATTCTCATCAGTATTCGGCGAGTGAGTCTTTAAATCCGCAGTCGCCCTTTAAAATTTTCTCCCTCCTTTCTGCATACCTTCGTGGTGTGACGGTAGCACACTCGGCGCGTATTCAAGAGGTCCAGTTAGAGTCCCGGCGAGAGCATTGCTCATTTTTTACATCTTCTGCTTAAAAAACCTAAGGTCCTTGCAAGTTAACAATAATCAAATAGCGCACCGTCACTTCGAACAAACTGAAGAATTCAAAAATAAGCTAAATGCATTTTAAATCACATCTCCAATACATCAAAATAAATTAAGTTAAAAACTAAACAAAAGTAAAAATGAATCAAATATAGCGTGATAGTTAGCGATAAAGTGTTTGATGCATTACTATGATGAAGCGCTTTTTACCTTTCTGTTTAGCATATAAAGACATTAGATATTTGAAAGCAGAAAAGATGAAAAATGAACATCGCCCTCGCCGGAAATCGAACACGCGCCCAGCGTGCTGACCACTACACTACGAAGGCACTCTAAAAAGGCGGGAGAAATATCTTATATACTCCCCTTTTAAAGGGCGACTGGGGTTTTATGGGACGCAATCGCCAAATCCTGGGTGTGGAGAAACATCATCCACCAACCCTTTTAGTTCGGGCGCCACTGTAGAGACGTTAGGTCATTTTTTGAAAGCAGGAGAAATGAAAAATGAGCAACGCCTTCGCCGGGATTCGAACCATGGACCTCTGGAATAAGCGCCCAGCGTGCTCACCACTACACTACGAAGGCACTCTGAGAAGACGAGAGAAATACCTTATAATCAATAATTAAATGAATAATATTTTGCAGCTCACTTTGAATAAAATTTATGAAGTTAGCTCACTTTGATGCTTTGATTTTTGGGCGTTATTTTTTGTAGTCTCGATTTT